CAGAGATACAATGGGGGTGGTTTATCCCCCAAAGCTACTGACAGGGAAGGGTCTATACACATCTGCAAAACATGAAAAGACAGAATGAACCCTCCCTGTTCCTGGTTATCACGTTCCCTATATTCTTCTAAGCACAAATGCTTCCATAATGACAGATTTTGAAAAGCAAAGTGGAATAAATATATTCAGTAAAACCCTTTCAACCTAGAACTGTTTTTCCCGAACTGGCTGATGAATCCACACTGGGGATTTAAATGTGGCTACTGTGGTTTTTCATTTCTCCTGTTATTTGCAATTCAAGAAACAAATAGTGTCAAGAAATCCCCCCTCATTCCATAAAGATCACAAAAATCATCTTGTTCAATAGCTGCTCAAGTTGGCTATAAATTACAGTAATTCTTTCTCTAAAGTGGTAAACACAGTAATCTCTCTTTAGGAAAAGGGAAATATATTATTATAATAAGATTTCAGACTCATAACTGATACCAAAATGCTGGCAGTAGAGAATTTTCCTTCTTAAGACATACCTCATTCAGAAAAGTTAGGATTAAATCTAACACTGAGTGCTTCACTTCTCTTACTCTGAAATCTTAGTTCTATATCCATCACCCAACCTTTCATTTTCACGTGTTTTTTTTTTCCCACACGTGACCTACAATTGTCTACCCTCTGCTGTGCCTTGTTTATGGCTGAACTTCACCAGTACAGAGATGAAAAGTATTAATTTCACAGATGATTGTCAGGATATTTCAACCATCTGGATACTTTAAATCAAATGAACAAAACATTCAGATAACTAGCCGCATTTTGTATTTGCATAAGTTTACATTTCTATGATTTATCAAAACCATTTTGAATTCTGTTCTGTCCTTGAAAAAGTAATCAACCCATGCTATAGCTGAGTATTTGGTTAATATGCCTAACATATAAATTCTTCCGGAACTTTACTCTGTCTTTTCCTCAGTTGTTTTTCACTAATTTGAAGTGGGAAAATGACCCAAACTTACAACTCAAACAGCCTATAATTCAAAGTTGAAACCCTGAGGAGTTTCAGTGATTGGGGAACAAGAGTTAGAATTGCAAGGTTAAATAAGTACATCATCAAAATTTGTAAATTATATCTCCTGAGGCTAAAGGCCCAGTGTGAAAGTTTTCCTTATGTAAGTTTCATGCTTCCTTAGATGCAATGAATAACTACTTTTTGGTATGTTAAATCAGGGATTAGCAAACTTTTTCTATAAATACTTTGGGCTTTGTGGGCCACAAGGTCTCTGTCACAACTACTCAGCTCCACTATTATAGCATGAAAGCAGCCACAGACAATATGTAAGTAAATGAGCATAGCTGTGTTCCAATAAAACTTTATTTACAAAAACAGGCAGCAGGCCAGATTTGACTATGGGCCATAGTTTGCCAAGCCTTGTCTTAGATAATTATCTGGGCTCCAAAGTATTTCTTATAGTGAACTTCAAATAGAACCAAGTAAAACCAAAAGCAGAGTGTGATACAATAAGCTATAAATTCCAACATATTTTCATCTTTAATCCTATCACAACTCTTGGCTCTTGTCTAAAATGTACTTTTTTATAGCCTATTGCAACACAAATAGATAATATTTTTCTACTTGGCAAATCACTAGTGCCTAGTGGTATAGCTCACCATTCTGGAGATATTAGGTTTTTGGTGAGGACTAATCCACTTCCAATGTATAATCCACTTCCCAATGTATAATAATCTCCTCTCGGTATCTTTGCCTTACCCTCTTTTCTAATGAGTGATTGATATCTCTCCCAGGTAACAATATCTTTTCACTTCACTCAAAAGGAGAAACTCCTAGAATGTTAGAACTATAAAGAATCATTAGAGATTTGCTATTTGACCTCTGACATGTTAAACGACTTAATTAGCATAACTCCTCCGATTTGTAGCTAGTCCAGTCAACTC